TATAATCTGAGTTGATCTGATGATGGCTCCAGGATGATCCTGAGATGTTTTAGCAAAGGCCACCAAAGAGAAATCTTGCACACCATTTACCTGTTTTAACTGCACAGGTGGAAAACTAAATAGGCTTTAAATTTTGTGGTAACGTTTATAGTACCACTAGAAATTGTTATTAGTCTAGTACAAAGTATGAGAAGACAGCTACAAAAGTCAGTGAGAGACAGTGCCCCACAGGCACCTACTGTCAACTGCAGCAATGTGCACACAGACTCACTGGTTACTGAGACATGGAGGATTATCCTTGGAGGGTTGCACACCAGTGACACAGGGCAGAAGTGCTGTGAGACAGCCAAGCAAGTAGATGGAGGCTCCAAAATGTATGCATCTCATCATCTAATAGAAGCTTCCCTGATACAGGGTTGCCACCATTTGTTGCTGAGTCCCTTGGTCAAGAGTGCATAATCAGAGTATCTGCTCCATGTTACAAAGAGGTAGCACTTTCTAGTAGATGCCCACTCTGGCCTGGACATTTAACTCCCTTAATTCAAATCTCAGATGGAACAGGGCGGAAACACATATAGGGATGGTCTCAGAATCTGGTGCAGGCTTTAGGAAACAGAAGCATGAACTTTATTTCAGTCCTCTCCGCCCAGGGATGCCCAGTGCCATGGATGCTAGAGAGAAAGGGATTTTGGTTGACCCCAGTGTCATTCACCCCATCTCCTGAGATGGCACAGCACCAGCTTTTATTTGCGAGTAACTGCCCAGAATAAAGGTATAGTCACTTCCTAACAATGAGCCTCAAAGGGATGTAGAACTCCTGGAATGAGGGTCAGTGTGATGGATTGGTGGGTAAAACACCAAATGCTCTGACTTCAATCCCTGGAACCCACTGTCGGAGAGGAATGACTACTGAAAGTTGTCCTATGACTTTCACTCATTCACTGTGGTACACGCACACATACATGCACACACGCACGCATGCACACAAGCACACATAATAATAATAACAACAATAATAACAATAATTGAATAATAATTATAGATCACTAAAATGTGTCCCTAAAAGTAGGAGTAGAGAGTATGTTCCTTTTGACTCATTTCTCATTCTTTACTCTGGAATGTGAAATGGCTGAAGAGCACTTTGAACTATGGGGACAATGAAGCTACACTATAGAGGCAAAAAAATGTAACGTTTTACTACATTATGTAAACATAAAGCCATGATACCCTAATCTACCTGGATACAAACTGCTACAAAGAAGCAGGGGAGATGCTTCTATTTCATGCAATCCTTTGTTATTTTAGGTCTCAATTACACACAATTATAAGTTATAGTAACAGGTGCTGGAGCCCAGTGACCTGCTCATAAAAATAACATCTGTGTGTAGCCGCAAGGCCACACTCAACATGACATGTTCAAACTGGTCTCCACCTCACAAAGAGCTTTCTGAGTCCTGCTGATGAAATTCCAGAGCAGAGGAAATCAGAAGTGATACTCTTGTAGTTAACTGTGATCACAATGCTTATCTTACCTTTTTCTTGCTACAGTATATCTGCCACTTTTTCTCCGCTGGAAGTGCAAACATGGCTTCCCTGTGTTTGTCTGTGAGGTCAAGTTCATCCTGAGAAGAAAAAAAAAATGATTAGTATTACAGACACTGATGCTGTTCCTATAGAGAGCACTGCCAGTATCAACAAGGAGAAAAACAACTCACCAACACATACTTCAAAAAAAAGATGGGAGCTACTTCGTGGTGTGTTTTACAACTACTAATGTAGCATCTCCTGGCATAGGGCCAGACAGCAGCACAGAAAGGGGACAAAGCACAGCATGACAGGTACCCAGGGTTTCAATGAAGTGGCTAGGTTAGGCTTTGCTGTTGCTGATGCTATGTATGATCCATTGAGCTGTAAAGGCATTGAGTCATACGAATTCAGGATTAATCATATTAAAGATGAGAGTTTGTTGCTGACAACCCTCCAGACAAGACATCAATTATCAAAAATGGACTCTTGGGCTGAGCACTGGATGACTTACACAGGACAAGAACGAAAATACACCAGACACTCAATACCAACATTAACACTGATTACAGACAGAGTTCTTAGTAAATGCCAAGATCTTTTCTCTAAGTACCCCATAGCCATTATCCAAAAATGGATTTGTGGATGGCCTGCTGTAATTTAGGTTCTGAACATCCCCCATAGGTCCCTGTACTAGAGATCTGTTCCCCTGGGTGACACTACTAGAAGCTAATGAAACCCTTTGAAGGTAGAGAGACAAGAAGGAAGATGACCATAGGTCACTGGGGCATACCCCCAATGGGGATTGAGGGACCCTGTGCATTTCCTCTCTCTGTCTCCTGGCCATAATGTGAATGGTTTTGCTTTGCTGTTTGTTCCCTTTATGATAATGCAGCCTTGATCCAGGTCCACAATACTGATACCAAGGATTGTGAAATAGAATCTTCTAAACTGTGGGATAGCATAAACCTTTTCTTTTTACAGGTTCATTATCTTAGATGCTTTTGTAATAGTGACAAAAACTAAGGCAGCAACAGAAATCAAAGACTAGGTTTGGGTACTAGATTTCACACATAAGGGGTCCATAGCCAGTGAAGGAGAAGTACTGAGCTACACACATCATGGTATGGAAGGTAAGGCGTGACCACTTTGCAGAAGGCCTCAAGTGCCAGCCTATGGGGCTGCTTCATTATTATGCCTATTTCATGTGCATGGGTGTTTTGCTTGCATGCATGTCTGTGCACCACGTGCATACCTGGTGTCCATGGAGGCCAGAAAAGGGTATCAGCTCCCCTGGAGCTGGAGATATAGACAGTTGTGAGGTGACATATGGGAGCTGGGAATTGAACCCAGACCCTCTGGGAGAGTAGCCAGTGTTTTTAACCACTAAGACATGACTCCAGCCCTGGGAATTTTTTGTCAATTTTTTTTTTAACAACATAAGCCAATGAAGCTTTTTTGTGTAAGTGCCTAGTATCAGCACCACAAATTTCAACTAATATTTCCTAGGGATTTTATGTGCAAGCAGGTATTTCCTATTTAGTTATCACAATGAACCTAAAGAGGGCCACTAATTATTACATCTCCTTATATAATAGTCTCCATTGTAAGAAAGCCAGGGAACTTAGGGTGAAGATTAGGCAAGGCACTTCCTCCAGCCTACACACCTGCTGAACAAAGCAGCTAGCTTTTAAGCCCAGAGCTGTGTGACCCTGGAGTTCAGACTCTTAGCTTCTTAGATCAGTGCTTAGAAAGATTAAGCCTAGAGTGGTGGAAAGCTTGGGAAGTCAACATTCAGACATTCATAACTAATAACTAATGAATAGCAGCAAGGAGATAATAAATATGGAGTTCTTAGAGGAAACATCTTGGCACTTAGTAACTCCATCTATAGTTAATGTGATTATTGGTATTGAGTGCCTGGTTCATTTTCATTCCCACAGGGAAGGTTATCTAGTTGAGAACAGTAAATGGCTGTGTGTGGGTAAAAGATAAAAGCTATAAATTAAGGTTCAATAAGGTTTGGATCTCTGAAGACAAGTCCTCCCCCCACCCCCTGAATGGCTTGTACATGTATCTGCTCTCAGTCACACTTGAGGACACAGACAAACAGGTCATTGGCTTCCTATCTTTCATCTTATACTCCTACAACTACTTAGTCATCAAGTCCCATTATTTTCCTTGCAATGATTTTCCCTTTGTTTCATTCACAATGGAACCACCTAGACTTACTTGTGTCCTAACAATCATTCCCAAGGCTTCTGGCCCAGCCCCTCACTCTTCTTCCTTGACATTCCAGTCATATCTACTCAGCACACCTAGACTTCTCTTCAATCATTTTTGCCTTCAATGTTGGGTGAGCATCAGAATCACTGGGGGCTTCTGACCTCACTGACCACCAGTGTTCAGGCCATGGGGCACGTGCGCTGTTTGCATTTCATTAAGTTTCCAGGGTATTGCTGATGCTCTGGTCTAAAAACCACACCTTGAAAATAAGCACTGTGCTGTTTCAAGCTCCCAATCCAGAACCTCCATTCCTTCCACGATACCTGAAAAATTAATTACTCATCTCTCAGCTGGCCTCTTGAAGTCTTCCATTTCTCCTGCCAGGGTCCCTTCTAATTAACTCTTTGCTATATCCCATTAACACCTGTCCCCCCAGAGCCTAGCACAGGCCAGCTTCCCACTTCTGAATCCCATCAAGTCACCACTTCCTCTCCAGATCAGGCAGACCATTCTTCTTGCAAGGACTGGTAACAGCCAAATATATAGTAATGCCTGGCACAGGATGGCAACTGCACAGCTGTTATTTCTCTCACTTGAACACAAATCAGTTGCTAGTTTATTTTAAGAATACAATAAACAGTTAAGTCACTAAACCATGTATACACACACACACACACACACACACACACACACACACACACACACCACACTCCCATAAGAAGCTAGCTGTTAATAATGCCAACAATGAACAACCAGAGAAGGAATAAAGAACTGGTACAGAAAATTCCATTATGAGAGAACATGTTTAAAACACTAAAATTCTGGCATGCAACTTATTATATGGGAAGTAATTCTCTTCCTTCCTTTTTAAATTTCCTGTAAGTCACAGCTGCTCTGAAAAACAGGGGAAAAAAGGGTGACATAAATCACTTTTCAACAATTAGCCCAGTTAATCAAACTGCTCAATAGTATCTAGCTTACTTTAGGGAGATAGATGCTTTTGATTTGAGAGAGCAGCATTCTTTTGTTTTCTCTTTTTTTATTAATTTATTTTTTATATTCCAATCCAAGTCCCCCCTTCATCCTCTGCTCCTGCTCCCCCCATGTCTCTCCCCCTGCATCTGGGAGCAGCATTCTTAATAATATACATTTACTACAGTACAACATGGTTTTTCCTGAGTATACGTGTAAAGAAATGTGTGAATCCTAAAACTGCAAAATCCACAGTATGAGAACAGTAGTATGCAGTTTTGCTGAGGTACAGACATTACCTATTTTAAACTGTGAGAACACAGACAAGCGGGGGCAGACAGTCTGATGGCAAAGGAAAATACCCACAGGGGGAAAAAGAACCAAATTGCTGTAGTGTTCCCACATAAAATTTCGATCTACAATCAGGACATGGAAAAGGATAAATGCATTCTGACAGTAAGAGACAACAATTGCTTAACACTTTCCAAGTGTCTATTAGTAACATTTTATGTGGATTAATTTGTTTTAACGTATACAACATCTTACCAAGTGAGTATTATTGCTAACCCATTTTCTAGAAAACTGGGTCACAGAACGACTGAGCACCTTGCCTCAGGCACAGTGATAGCAAACAGTGGAGGTGGGACTTAGTGCAAGCGGACTGCAGAGCCTTGTGTTCTCTCAGGGTACTACTGTCTATCCCCCAAACAGGTGGGTGACTCATGTCACAGAAATAGGCATGAAGAGGCTTCCGTCCAGTGTCTGTCAGAAGCAAGCAAGAGACGGGTTTTACTGGCAGCTGTCCCTGAATTGTAGGTCTGGCTTTTATCAATTATGCATCTTGGGTAAGGGTGTAGCCTCTGACCTTCACTGCCTTCATCTGAAGACACGGCGGGCGATAATGCACTCCTCTACTCACCTCAGAAATTCATGGAAGCAAAGAGATTTTGTGCTGAGTATCTAGTAAATGTCAGGCACTGAGCTAGGCACTGCTCATAAGGACAGAAGGGAAACCAGACACTAACTGAACGATGATTACATGCTAAGGTTGTTGTGGGAAAGTTGTTACAATGAAGGCTTCTCCAGTTAAGTGACATGGTCAACAGGAACTGAATAGTAGAAAGCACTGGAGACAGGAAACAGCAGCTGTGAAGGTCACTCTCAACTTGGTCTCTATCCTCAGAGTCACCAAAGGTGAAGAGTGAAGATTAAAGCAGATGATTTCAATTCTAATGAGACCCAGGCCTGTCCATTTGAAAGTGCTCTATATTTCATCCCACTTTAATGATGTGGCAAGAATGCATGCTTCTAAGGGACTACTATCAACACCTTAAAGAGATCCATCAGCACCATCCTACCTGTTCTAGGACCAGAGCCAGGCAGCATAAGGAGTGCAAAGATAAATAATAAGATACCCAGGCTTCAAGGCATTTGTAACCTCTCTACCAAGACAGACAGGAAGCTTTCCAGTTCTATTATTTTGCAGGAGAAAGTACAATTTCTAGTCAGGTCAGGTGCTTCCTGACCAGCCCGTCACCTCACCTACCAGCACTTCAGGTTTCACTTCCCCAGCTTCTGAATATGGTGCGTTCTCTTTCAAGTGGGCTCCTCCCACTGCATCTACGAATCACCCTAGTCATCCAGATTTTCCCAAAGCATTAGCTAACCACTTCAAATAGCTGGACTTGCTATCCTTGATGTCAGATCCTCTGTGCCCCGAAACATTTCTCACACTATTGTCGGGTTACTGGCATGCTTCATTCCCATTATGGATGGGTTCCCAGAGGATGGTAGTTCACTTTGTCCTATTCATCTTTGTATTAATTGCCAGTACCTGAAACAATACAACACAGGAGGCATGCAGGAGCAGGAGGAGGGAAAATTGAGGTGGCAGGAAAGG